GCCACTCTGTCAAAAGACAGGAGGGTAAAGAAGTGAGTGGTGCAAGAAAAGAAACAATCAACAGTGGTAGAAGGTGAGCCTCTGAATGGAGAAGGGGGTTTCTTTGACTTCTTTAACACCCAGGAAAGGAGCAAGCTACATATGGCCAGAAACAAGGCAGGAGAGGGAGCAGGAAACATGGGGGACCTGGGTGACGGCGCTGATTCTCTGATAGGTTAAGGGTGGGATGGGGAGAAACTGGGGATAATAGTCTTGAGACTAGAGATAAATGGAATACTGCCAAGGGATGGCTAAACTCCAGAAACTTACCTGAGAAACCATGCCAGGGCTCAGCTCAGTTTAGCCACCAAAATTAATCCAGGGCTGGGGTGTGGCTCAGTAAGCAGGCAGCTGGCTGGCTGAGTCTGGGTGAGACTGCAACTGGGATAACGAACAGCAGGTTCCAAACTGGTGTGGAAGAAAGAGATGCCAGGCGGGGGCTGACACATGGAAACCAGGAAGGCTCCACCTCTTGCCACCCGCCATTCGGGGTGAGAGTGAAGAAACCCAGGAATGTGTGTTTACTGCGCAGTGGGCGCGTCCAATTGGACTGTGAAGGAACACCGGGCTTCTCGGAAGCTCCTGCGCTGCCTCCTCTTCTCTACATTTCTCTCATACCACAGACCAGCCTCAAGTTCTGCTGTGGGCACTCTAACTCCACTCATGCCTGTACAGTCCTCACTGACCTCACCACGTCCACGCAGCTCCGGACCGTCCCCAAGTGTCCCCTGTGTATCTCCAACTGGACTCTGCAGACTCTCCCATGTCACACAGGTTCAAGACTGAACTCATCTTCCCTCAAAATGAGCTCCTCCTTCTCTGCATTTCAACTGCCTCATGATCTACCCAACTGCCCACATCATAAACTGGAGTCACCTTCAACACCTCTTCTGCTGCCACCCCGGATCCAACAGCCCTGGCTGACCAACTTAGCTGTGCAAACACCTTTCCACTTCTCTTCTCCATCCTGTCTACTCTATCCACTACCATCTTACTCAGGTCTTCGACCTCTCTCTTTCCTTCCTGCTGGCCAACCTCTTGCCTTAGCTCTTGTCTATTCATTAAACTTGCCTAACAAGCCTTTAAAAAATAAAGATTTTGGGTGCCAAAGAGGTAGCTGAGTGATAGAGTGTTTGCCTAACATGTGTGAGGCCCTGGGACGAACAAATTTTCAAAACTCCGCATTTCTGATGCACACATTGGCCCCTACAACTGGGACTCAGGAAAGTATAACTGAAAATACCTTGGTTAACATACCTTGGTGATGTCAGACAGCTGGCTGGAAACCACTGCTCCATCAGCAAGAGTAAACTCCCAGCTTTCTTCCCTTGCCCATGAGCAGCACACCCACCTTTGGCCCTGGATGGCAGTCATCTCCTCCTGCTTCCTAGGACTTCCTGGTCACTGTGCACTCTCCGCTGGGCCTCGCCCAATACTGTTCGATGAACTAAGTCTTCTGTCAATTTTAAGGAACTCTTCTGCACCAGCAGCCGAGGCCAAGTATGCCTCACTGGCCCGTACTGCGTGACTAATTTCCTCCCAAGCGCCTCCCAAGCCCACATCTCAGCTTTCCATCCCACTGGTCCTCAGCGCCTTCACACTCTGCTCCCGGGCTATTGCACCAGCTAGCCCAGAAAGTTACTAAGGGGCCTTTTTCTTTCCCAAACAGTCACTTCTCAGACTCTTCTGCAGTGTGTAAGGCTATTAGCCACTGCTTTGAGAGTCTCTCCTCCTCTCTCTCCTCCTGTTTCCCCAGCTCAGCTTGTCTCCCTTTAAATGTTAAAATGTCCACAGGTCCTGTCTCCAATCTTGTCACCTTCCACCATCCTCTGACAATTTCACAGCACACTCAGGAACTGCCCACTCTGGCTATAAACAACTGTCCCCTAATTCTTTCCCTCTCGCCTCTTTGCCATGCTCCAACCCTCACAGAAGCCTTCTCCCGGTTGTTATGCCTGATAAACTCTTACTCAACCCTCAAAACTGTCAAGTAGCACCTGTGGTGGGAAGTCTACTTTTAACAACTGTGCCCATCAGCCCATCTCCTGCAATATACCCACCACACTGGGCACAGCTGTTTATTTCATTTTATTTTTTTTCCCCTCTGGATACTAAGCAAACTACACTCAGGCTACATTAACCATACAATTAGTATTGGTTGACTGCATCTTTGCACAGTGAATATACTGTGAAGTAAATAAGTAATGCATATACTTATTAATAAATGATGCATATATTACTCAACACAGAGTTGAATGACAGCACTAGTCTACAAGTAGGCATCAGAGATAAGTCATGCACACTATTTCTATGCAATTTTACCCCATCATAACCACATAAGTGGGCAGACAGCAAGGTAATTTTAAAGAAATGGTCACAAATGCCTTTGCCCTGATTTACTGCCCTGGCCCCACAAGCTTTCTTTAGCACACTGAAAACACCCTGCTGCACCTGCTTCAGGCTGTGCTCCTGTGTCCCCTTTCTTCAAAAGGAAGTTGTGGTCACTTCACACTATTTGGCTCTCAGCTTGAATGTCACCTTCTCAGACCCCTCCCCAGCAATGAATGTTCAAGCAGTGTCCAGCACACTCCAACCTCTGCTACACCTCCTAACGTGTCACCATGCAACACCGTGTGATAGTGACTGTATTCTCAGTGCGGTGAACCTGTCTGACGCTGGGCTCATTTACCCTGTTTAATACTTTATATCCTCTTACTCAACAGACGGCTGGTGAGTGAATGGGTGAATGACACAAAGGAAGAAAGCAAGGTAACTAAAACATCACTACCTACTAATCCCAAAACTGGAGGAGATGCAGGTGGAGGAAAAGGAGGGGATTTCTTCCTCAAAGGAGACTTTCTACCCTTGGGTTAACCCTTTAACCCAATGTAGTCTCCATCTTTAAGAAGCTTATTTAGGAGCAGAAGTTTGACTTACCAAAGGCTCACACAGTTTCTTATCAAACGGAAATCCCTTCCCTCTAGGTAGGTAGCTTTGTCAGAAAGAAATTTTGACGTATGGTAACTGCTAACATGCAGATTTGTTAGGTCCAGTCCTGGTAAAACTCCACTATAAATACCATAAACTCTAGGGTCAACACTTGTTTACATCATTGCAGCCAACTTTGTTGGTATGGCCTGTAATCTCAGCAATTACGAGGCTGCAACAAGAAGAGCATTATGAGTTCTCAGCTACACATTGAGTTTAAAGGCCAGTCTGAACTGCACGGTAAGACCCTGTCTCACAAAACAAAGACTTGTTGATTATTGTGTTCCCTGCACCTAACACAGTTCACCCACAGCACATCCCCAAAATGTTAATGAACACATAAAACATAAAGAGGAAAGGAAGGCCATCCTTCCAACTTTTACACTGACTTTAGAGATCACTTTAGATACATTTACTTTAGAGAAATGTCAAGATAGCTGAGAAGGATCCTCTGGACCAGACCTCTCTCAAGGAAATGGTTTGGCTCCTAAAGTTACCTAGCTGAGCCACAGGTAATAAAGTCTTACCTTCCCTGAGTCACCTTGTTTAAAATTTGAATACCCACTGCTCACATAATCTCATGGTTCGTATGTATGGCAACTAATAGCAGATTTCTCTGTCTTCTGAAATATTTTTATATGTATTTTGGTCAATAACAGTAACTCAAAATTCTGAATAAAGAACAATTAAAACTGAAGACCCCTACTATTAGTGTTACATCCACCAGTATCTTGTGATCTTAAGAAAAGCACACCACCTCCCTGAACTGTCAGTTTTATCAACAGCCATGATGTTCTTTATACAAAGCGCAGTTTGGAAAAGATAAATTTGCCTGACTTGTAAAGGTCTCTGGGGTGGAAGATTCCTTCACATTATCAAATTATGAAACCGGGGGTATCATATTAAAGCCATTTCAAAACCTAACGAGCTGAAAAGTAAGGAAGAGTTAAAATTGTGCCTGTGGTTCTGACAGTAACTCTGAGACTACGACACAAATTCTTAGGAGAGATTCCTGACATTGGCAATAAAACTTACAAACTACTTGGAAATGTCAGGTGTTCCTAGGCTGTGGCAACATGAATGGCATATGCAAAGATAGGAGGCAGTAACAGCGATAAGCAACGGCAAATTTGTAGCAGTTTAAACAGTTCACTTCTGGAGTAACAGTGCTGAATATCAGGACTGTTTGGTCTAAACACAGTCCACTTTACGGAAAGTCAATTAAACACAACGTCATGAAAAAATGTTGTTTGCAAGGCTGTATACACGGATTCCTCCACCTCCACCTGGCGCCCAGAACGTCACTTCAGTAAAAGCCAACGCATCCAGCAGTCAGGCACGCACCGCACCCTCTTGCCAAATGACTTCCTAACTTCTCTCCACTTTAAAGCCCTTCGATCAGTTTTTGTTGGTCTAAAAACTCTTTGGGGAGATTGGAGAAGATGACATCCAAGTAAAACTGAGGGAGTCAGCTACTGAAATAGAAGGTGAAATTTGGAAGTGGGGGGAATAGTTGGTTCGGTCCCACTGTAGCCTCAATGAATGAGGACGGTGACAGGGCACGGGGCAGGCTTCCAGCATCGACTCCTCTGGGACAGCCTCTCCTTCCAGCCTGGCACCCGCGCCGCCAAGGGCACTGACCCGGGCCGAGAGAACAACCAGGCGTCAGCCCGACCCCACCTGCCCAGCCCACCTGCAGCAGCGCTGGGGCGGCTGCGCGTCGCACCAGAGGTGCCGCTGGGGGCGCGCTGGCGTGAGGGGGGGGGCTCTGCCCAACGCCCCTTCACGCTGAGGTGAGGCAGGTTAGGGTGAGGGCCCCAAGGGTAACAAACTACCAGGGTTGAGGCGCAGGGATGGAAGGCTGGGCCCCCAACCTCCAGCAAACCCGAAGGTCCCCACATCCCTAGCCTCATCAGAGAGGTGCCCAGGGTGGCGCGTAGGATGCAGCCAGGATGCTGGGGGCCGGTACTCACAAAGCCCACTGGAGCCGGTGCTGGTGAACATGGTCCCGCCTGGCCCGAAGCCCCCGCGGGGGGCCAAGGGGGAGGGGAAACGGAGGTGGAGAGCTCCGGCGGTCGCGCAGGCGCACTCCCGGCGGGGCGGCGACTCCGGCGCCGCGAAGCCGCTCTAGGGTCGCGAGACGCACCACGCATGCGCGGGCAGTTCGCGCACCCGTTGGGCCGGCGCCTGTCCTTCCTGCCGTAGAGGGGAAGTGCGTCCGCAGCGGAGGGCCCGCCCCTCCGGGTTTTTCTGAAGACGCCGACGCGGTTTAGACAGCAGTGGGATAGTGTGCAAAGGGTGAAGGTGAGGCTTCCGGCGGCCCTGCAAGTGTTCAGCCCCGCCCTCGCGACCTCTAACCTCTGCCCGCACCGGGCGCCCGCAGCGTCTTCAGTCTGTCTGCACAGGTCCGTGACCCTCGGAGCGAGCAAGTGTTGTGGCTCGACAGCATCAATTCAGAGCTCAGTGTCCCGTGTTGTCCCTGAGGGCTTTCGGTTATCGGGGCTGACCGTTCCCGTCGCCGGGCCTTGCGACATCCATCGGCACTCTGTTTGCCCACGTCTTACAGAATAAAGTTAGTTTTTGCTAAAGCCCAGCTTTTGCAAATGATTTTTGAGCTCGAAAATTTTATGTGATTATAATTTAAAATTTTTGACAAAATACACGTGGGGACATTACAGGGCTAAAAGAAAAAGAAAAATTGCAAAATTGCACAGTGTACTGTAAAAAAATGTTTTCAGCGATTATAAAAGGCAGCCAACACGCTAAATCTAAGTTTGTAAATCTCTACAACCCGTAGAGAAATCTGTAAATCACCTTGCCCATTCCGTAGCAAAAGATTCCAGTGAGTCCAAATGTTCAATTAGATTGTTTCTAGAAGGCAGCAGTAGGGATGATTTTTACTTCCTTTAGGTTTTACACGTGGTTTGTTCATATGCTATCTTGTAATAGTTGACATTTTCTTTAGATTCATGCAATAAGTTATTTTGTAGAAAAGCGATAGTCTCAAAGTCTGTTGTATTTATAGGCACCTAGGTCCTCAATAGAAAGCAGAAGACAGGTTCTCAATGTGGGGGTCAGGATTCATGGCCCATATTGGGGTTACAAAGGACCAGAGTCACTTCCCTAATATTGCTAATATATTTTTCTCTTCCACTCTTAGTGAATATATAGTGGAGTTTTCCACTCTACACTTGGAAAAACTGCAAAAATTGTGAGCCAATATTTTCCAGTTGACCAGTGCCTAATGTTATGAAATCATGAAAGAGCAATTTAAACTGCAAGACAAACCAGGAAATTTTAGAATATAGAGTACAAATAGTTCGTTGTTACAGTTTCTGATTCCTCATTGAGATTAATGTTTAAGAAACTACCACTTAGGTTATGTTGTAACATCAACAAAATGCTCGTTATCTTAAAAAGCTATCAAAATGCTTGCCTTTTTCAACTGTATGAGACAGTACCAGGAGATTTCTGTTAAGCCAGATATTAAACCAAAATGTGAAGTAATATTCTTCACTATAATTTTTAGTTTAGGAAAGTACCTTGGTGCCAAGTTGAATGTTTGAACGTATCTGTGTAATAAGACAATACAATACAGTAACTTTTTCCTAGTTCATCTAAGAGGTGAACTCATCATCATTGTGAACACTTCATAAAGAGAGTTGACAGATTTAAACCTTGACAATCAATATTGTTCCTGGAATTTGTTTTTAAATTTTAATACAATGGATGTAAAGTTCTATTCTTACAGAATAACACAAATCATAACAAGTTGTAGCAATCTAATATTGGAGAAATACCAATGTCAATTGTGTAAGACATTATTAATATAAGAAATTTAAATAATGTTGACATTACATGTTGACGTTACATGTAGAAGGATCTATAGTAACTCCAAAGGGGCAGATAATCAGCAGTGAATTGTTGCAAGGCAATTGTTTCTACATGACAGTGGAGTTTAGGGCAGTGAAACATCGAGTGGAAAATTTATTTCCAAACAGACAATGGACACCAAGGATTGTCAAAACTTCAACCCTTAAAAAACATTACTCCACAGGAAAACTTTATTTCTTTTCCAATATTGTACAACAGATGGAGCCATAGTTACATTCAGCCAGTAACGTGTTTGTAAACAACTGAAAAGAAGTGACAGCAAGCAAGCAAGGCATTGAATTACACATTGGCTGCCTCAGTCACCCAAAATATTGGGGTGAAACCCACAAATCAACAGATATTATCAGTGATGCTAGTGAGAGTACTATCCATGCCTTGAATAAAACATTATCTTGTAACTTTGTAATGACCATGAAAAAGTGTTTGTCTGTCTTATCCTATGTGGGGAATAAGATAGCATTCAAAAGAAAATTGTTTTAAAATATTTATTCTTCAATATCCAATTTTTGTTTCAATATATGAGAAACTACATACAATAGCAATGTCAAAACATTATAAAGTTCTTTGGCTTATATTTTATGTACATATCAGAAATGCTAAATGAAACTGTTAAACTGGAAGTGTGATCAGTATTCCTGAAGAGGAATGATTGTCATATGTTTTCAGTAGATTTTATTATTTTAGGAGAATGTTTCAGGCCCAGAATTTTCACAGTTCTTTTGTCTTTAGTAAGTAAGACTAGTTGTAAGGACACTGGTCTGGAACAATAGCAGTAATTTGAATGCTACCTTCAAAATGTATGATTAAATTTAAAAAATTGATATGGATTTATAATGTCCATATTATATGATTAATCCCCTTGGAAATGAGGAAACATAGTACTCAATGTTTGCAGAAAATTTGATAAATATGAAGAGTTGTATTTATTAAATACAGAGAGTTGTATTTATTAAGTAACTAAGATTCACTGGTCTTAAAATGGAAACAACATTCTCTTATCACCGCTCCTATTCAATATAGTACTGGAAATACTAGCCAGAGCAATTAGACAAGAGAGAGAAATAAAAGGAGTAAAAATAGGAAAAGAGGAAGTTAAACTATCATTATTTGCAGATGACATGATATTCTACATAGAAGACCCCCAAAACTCCATTGAAAGACTCCTAGATATAATAAATAAATTCAGCAAGGTAGCTGGATACAAAATCAATGCTCAAAAATCAATAGCATTTCTATACACTAACAACAAAATTACAGAGAGAGAAATAAAAGAAGCCACACCCTTCACACTAGCATCCAAAAACATGAAATACTTAGGAATTAATCTCACAAAAGAAGTAAAAGATCTATTCAGGGAAAACTATAATACCCTGAAAAAAGAAATTGAAGAAAATCTCAGAAAATGGAAAGACATTCCTTGTTCATGGATAGGGAGAATAAATATTGTGAAAATGGCCATTCTTCCAAAATTGTTCTACAGATTCAATGCAAACTCAGTGAAAATACCATCAGCATACCTCATAGACATAGAGAAATCACTCCTAAAATTCATCTGGAGCCAGAAGAGACCTAGAATAGCAAAGGCAATTCTAAGCAGCAAAGGCAAGGCAAGAGGCATCACAGTCCCTGACTTGAGATTATACTACAAAGCTACTGTAATAAAATCAATATGGTACTGGAATAAAAATAGATCTAAAGATCAATTAAATAGACTAGAAGATATAACCACAACTACCAACACACTCAACCACCTTATCTTTGATAAAGGAGCCAAACATGTTCACTGGAAAAACAACAGTCTCTTTAATAAATGGTGCTGGAAAAACTGGCTCTCCATATGTCAAAAATTAAAACTAGACCCATGCCTATCACCATGTACTACATTAAAATCTAAATGGATCAAAGATCTGAATATTAAAACAGAAACACTAAATCTATTGGAAGACAAAGTAGGTAAACATCTTGAAGACATAGGGGTAGGTAGAGAATTCATGAATAGGAATCAAACTGCATGGGAACTACTTCCCAGAGTCAATAACTGGGATCACATCTTATTAAAAAGTTTCTGCATGTCAAAAGAAATCTCCAGCACAGTGAAAAGAAAACCCACAAACTGGGAACAAATCTTAGTGAACTGTCCCTCAGACAAAGGACTTCTGTCTAAAACATATAAAGAATTTTAAAAAATCGATCCCCGAAATTCAAGGACCCAATCCAAAAGTGGGCATCTGAGATGAATACAGTTCTCAGATGAAGAAATACAAATGGCAAATAAATACATGAAAAAATGTTCATCATCGTTACTCATTAGAGAAATGCAAATTAAAACAACACTGAGATTCCATCTCACTCCAGAAAGAATGGCCAGGATCAACAAAACTACCAACAACAAATGCTGGAGAGGATGTAGGGAGAAAGGAACTTTTCTGTACTGTTGGTGGGAGTGCAGACTGGTGCAACCACTATCGAAGTCAGTCTGGAGATTCCTCAAAAATCTGGGATTGAAGGTCCCATTTGACTCAGCTATTCCACTTCTGGGCATATTTCCAGAAGAACTGAAAACATCATACCACAGTGATATCTGTGTAGCCATGTTTTTAGCAGCACAATTTGTAATAGCCAGATCTTGGAAACAACCTAAGTGCCCATCAACTGAGGAATGGATAAAAAAAGTTGTGGTATTTTTATACAATGGAGTCCTACTCATCTATAAAGAATGATCACATTGAGATGTTTACTAATAAATGGGTGCAACTTGAGACCATACTCATAAGCGAAATAAATCAAACTCACATGTATAAATACCACATAGTCTCCCTAGTATAAGAAATAGTAAGAGTACATAGGAGTTTAGGGTAATCATGATTCCCCATTACATTGTTTTGAAGCTTTATAATGATCACAGTTGTAATGTGTTTATCCTGTTTTTTTTAATTTTATTATCTGTGATGGTATGAACAGCTAATTTGAGGGAAACAAGTCATTATAATAGCCAGTAATGATATAATATCATCTTACTCTGAAGTCCTGCCATGCTCTTGCTCTTCTGTTTCCATTGGCTCTATCATGTTGTACCTTATTGGATTGTATTCCGTGTGAAAGTATAAACAAATTTCCTATGGAAAATGAGATAATATAGTAGCCATTGTTTGTTTTCTGTTATTTGGTTCTGAAAACCCTGTAATACTCTCATTCTCTTGAATGTTTTTATACTACTTTGTTATGTTTGTTACTATTG